TCTACAGAAAATATCAGAAAGTTAGCTGGACGTGGCGATGTGTACCTGTGGTCCTAGCAACTCAGAAGGATGAGGCAGAAGAGTTGCTTGAGCCCAAGAGGTTGAGCCCATAGTGGCTCTATGATAGAGCCAGTGCACTCTAGCCTGGGTGACAGAGCAAGACCCTGTCTCTAAAAGGAAACAAAAATAAATAAAAGACCTCTTTGTCTATGAGGACTATGAGTAAATCCAACTTAAAACCTGGTCACATTTTGTTGAGTTTGCTAGGTTTTATTTCTTACCTACACCAGTTCCATATCAGACGCTTAAACAGGTAAGTTTCCCCGGCTTGGATATTTCCAGGTAATTTATTCTTAAGCTTCCACTTCGTAAAATAGCTTTGGACCAAGGCATTATTTCCACATAGACTCATCATATACAATCTTATTATCTCAGTTTGAAAGCAAATTTTAATAGATTGTCAAATAATTGCTAAAGATTTTATTTTTGAATGAATTCTCTATAATCTTTTTTTTTTTTGTCACTTAAGAAATGTTTCCTCTAGGATCAATAGATGCGGCAAACCACTATGGCACACGTATACCTATGTTACAAGCCTGCATGTCGTGCACATGTATCTGGAACTTAAAGTTTTTTAAAAAAAAGAAACGTTTTCTCTAATTTTTTAAATCTCAAAAATGAATCTAATAATAAATTATCTATTGGATAGCCAGTAGCCTATATTTTGGCCCCTTGATCTAGTGATGTGCAATTTTGCCTCAAAGAATATGAGCGAACACCCCTGATTTTTTCAATAGCTTCTGATAAGGAAGGCGCTATATTGATCAGTAGGTTAAAATTATATCACAAGCAACTCTCCTTGGTTTGTGTATTCACTGTTGGCAAAAGATCTGTATTTACAGTCAAGAGATAACAAGACAGTCTCTGTCAGTGCCTGAGCACTTTATTTTGAAAATAACCCCGGGGCTGCTGACTTGGCAGAACAAAATGTACACCTAGAGCAAGCAACAGCTGAGAAAATGCTACTTAGGCTAGATTTTATTTTGCCAGGGTAATTGATCCTTTTAAAATGTACGTTTATTGCTGGTCACAACAGTTTGACTTCTGATAGCAACTAAATGTATTTTAGCAGTACAGCTTTGAAAACAGTGACTTGTGATTGTTTTAAACTTTATAGTGGCACCCCCTTAAAATGAGATTCAAGACCAATTGAACAGTTTCCTCTTAATTTATTATAAGAGTTTCATAATAAAACAGGGATATTTCTAGTTAGTAAGAGATCTATCTTTAATGTAAGCACCCGACTAAACAAAAGCATTATAAATTATGGTTTCTAATTTTTGGGTACAGTTATGATGTAGCTACCTTTTTAACAATACGTCTCACTATGTATGCTACTTTCAAACTCCTAATGCATGTTATTTAAATAAATAAGAATGTGACAGTTCTTTCTGAGTGTCAAGAGAGAAAATAAGGACAACTTAAGATACACATAATTACAGTACAGTAGAATCGTGTGTGACTGTCTCCAGTACATGGTTCTGGCCCTTTAAGAATGAAAAAGCTCAACAGGCAGTATGTTTAAATAGAACACACTTTCTATTGATTGATTTTGTATTGTCTGCACCTTTGATCACCCTTTAGGAGAACATGGCTTCAGGCCAGCCATAGAACACCTAAAGATAAGCCTTTAAAGAGTCAAGTGATGTTTTGTCAAGGAAAGCAAGCACTTAGCCAAAGGGCATCATAAATAAATTTGATCTTTCTTCATCGGGTGCCCCGAACTGACTGTTAGAAAGCCTGCCTTTAATTCAGCTCAATCCAAGAAGGAAACATTAAACCTGCATCCAGGTAAAGTTGGTGAAGCTGGAAGAAGAGTTTGCAGCTTGGAGGCAAGAACAGAAATACTGTATGCTGTTTCAGCCAGCCAGTGGGCAAAAGACTGTGGGAAAGTTCTTATGCTTGGGCATGAAATGATTCAATAGCGGAACTGAGTCATATCATTTGGGAATTCGTGTTATCCATTATATTGAAAGATAAGAAAGTGGCTCCTAATTCCTGAACTCATCTTCTTATGGAATGGCAAAGGGTCTGTCGACCACACTTTAAGTGTTACTGGTGTGGTGGGTAGACTTTGGTTTAGAGACTTATATTTAGATCTTTTATCACCTCTTTAACTTGAGAAAGTCACTTGTTAAAGTAATGAGGTATAAGAGACACAGAATCAGCACACATTTCCTCATCTTACTAATATCATGTACAAGCTCTGTTTTGTAAATGTGAAAATATTGAGACATCATGTATTATTTTCTTCATTGCCACCACCTGAAATTATCAGCAGAAAACACATATTCTCTAGGTTTCTTCCATTTCTGTTAAGATATCATTTAGTTCATCACAGATACTTATGAGGCAGGGACTTGCTAATAATGCAGCCCAAAGGTTACAAGTTGGTTTCTGGCTGGGAGATGGGAAGGACAGGCTAACCACAGCTACAGCGGATAGCTTAAATGAGCAGTTCTAGTTACCAGATGAATGTCTTGTCTTGTCCTAGTGTGACCTATGGCCCACCCGAGGGGAAGGTAATGAACAGTGGAGAATTCAATAAATATTTGTCCAATGAATGTTGGGAGTAACTTTCTGAGTTGACAACAGATTTGCCTTGGGTGAAAATATAGATAATATGTTACTTCCTGTGCAATATCATTGTTACTTTACCATCACAAGGATATGATCTTCTAGCCACACACTGGCCTACTCACTGAAACAGCAGTTTTTTAGCCATGAAGCTTTATCTTCAAATACACCCTTAAATGGAATCCAACTGTATAAAAAGATGAGAGCACAGTTGTGCTGGTTGAAGCAGGAGGAGTTGAAAGACAGGGCACGGTCTATTTTGCCTTCCTCACTCAAAATGTCTAAGACTCAATAGAGCACCAGTGCACTAAAACACCACTGAATTTCATGAATAGTTCAAATGATGTGAGTCAAATGAATGGCCAAATTGCTGAAAACAGCTAAGCGTAGTTTCCATCTTTAACTGGCGGGTGTTCCTTTAGTTCTGGATTCTCCACTGAGACATCTCAAAGATGTTGCCACGCATTGCGCCAGCTTCACTGAAGCCCACTACCAACTCACCTGCAATCGACTATCTTCTCTCAGGCTTTTTGATCCCTTTCTTTGTTTCTAAGAATTCTACCCTAATATCTCCTCTGTCATAGATTGGCACACTGTCTTTCTTATTAGAAAACCATAATAGACTCAACTCAAGGGCTCTGCTGTATTATTAAAGACTGCAGGTATAATGGACAAAGAAAGCTTAGACAACTTGTCCACACTCTCTTTTCTTTCTTAGTCTTCAGCTTTGTCTGTTTAGAGCATTCCATGTGCCTTTTATTTTTTTTTAAATCAAAGATTGCAACTGTGAGTATCAAGGGAATTAAGCCTAGCCTTCATGTAATTGAGCTTGTATCTATTGCTGTGGGGGATAAACTGTCTATATAATTCTATGTCTATAGGTCCTTAGACTTTACCACTTCAGGTTCAGTAATGAATAGAAGCAGAGCTTACAGTAACCCCATGTATTTAGGGATCTGATTGGAGTTTCTCTTTTTTTTTTTTTTTTTGTTTCCGAGCTTTTGCCTTTTAGTATGTGACCATAATAGCTCTTGTAACACAATTACTTGACTAAATCAATGTTAATGAAATAAAAACACTATCATTACATAATATTTCAGAACACAGATGACAGCTGCACTGTATGCATTCAGGATGAACTATCTCTTCAAATGAGTAACATCCAGGGAGTCCCTCTATAAGTCAGATCAGCCATATTCTACAACTCTACAGAACAGTAGGCTTTCGTCAATCTCATATTCATGATTTTCGTCCAAAATATTTAATCTTGGTCTTCTACAATGGTACGCTTTAGAAGCACAAAACCATACTCATTTCCTTTCTTAGACCTTATCCTTAGTATTTTCTGAGCTTGTTAAGATATTATAAAAAGTGTCATGGTCATTCTTACAAATAACTCTCTTACAGCGAATTTATTTACATTCGGCTGGATTATAGAAATCGAATAATAAAACATTAGGCAAATAAAACAAACTATCTTGAAAATATATTTCTTTTCCTTCTATGCAGAATTTGGGAAGACAATTAAAAACAAATTTTATATAATCTCTGAGGTTTTAAAATATTGCTATGTACCAAAACCCTTAATGTTTTCCAAGAAATGTTAGTATGCTGTATCAACTCTATAAATCCTCTTGAGAAGTAACTAATTATTTTGACAGAATGCTTGGTCTCAAATTTAAAATAAATATCATGAAAGACTGGGATTTTCTGGAACTGTTCTTTGAATAAATCTCCGCATTGTGTATAGGAGTTGAGAGAATTACCTGATGCTAAACCACAAAAGAACACCCATACTGGTTAGCAAGGCCAGAGACTGTTCCGCAGCATGTAGGTGCTGAATGGAAGAAACTAATGAGAAAAAGAGTGATTGTGACAAGCAATTATGTCACCTATGTGAACAGCTTAATTTTCTAAATTAGCCACTTTGATAATTATGACATCTCATTTGTCTTTTAATTCCATGAGCCCTGAAGTTTACCTTTGATTTTTTCCAATCAGATAAGAGGCTTTGATAAGCCAAGGGTCTATTATGTGTCTGAAAAATTCAGATTTCAGGCTGATTGGCCTTGCTACTTGCTTGAGCCGGAGCAAATGGCTCTCTCTACAAGAGCTCTCCAAGCCTTGCTTTCCTCGCTTCTGTTTGCAATAGAGATGGAAGAAAAAGAGGAGGGGCAGAAGAGGTTGCAAAGCAAATTAATAGTGTCAACAGGACTAAAGAGAAAACTATTCAGCCTCCTCTACGGAAAAGGCAAACTGTTTTTCAAGTACATTAAAAGTCACTTTAGTAGCATCCACTTTGCATGCATGCCCCCAAATTACCAAGCTAATTACAAATTATTCTCATCTGTTTATTGAAGCACTTTCAAGATCTTCCAAAGGATACATACTCTTTTTGTTGTTGTTCATGTATTGACTTGAGAGGTTTGTAAAAAAAGTTTGCCTGTGATTCCAGCCCTTTGGAGGGCTGAGGTGGGTGGATCACAAGGTCAAGAGATGGAGACCATCCTGGTCAACATGGTGAAACCTGTCACTACGAAAAATACAAAAATTAGCCGGGCGTGGTGGTGCATGCTTATAGTCCCAGCTACTTGGGAGGCTGAGGCAGGAAAATCACTTGAACCTGGGAGGTGGAGATTGTAATGATCTGAGATTGTGCCACTGCACTCCAGCTTGGTGACAGAGTGAGACGCTGTCTCTAAATAAATAAATAAATAAATAAAGTAAACTATTGGGCATCCTATAAGTGGTCTGGAACCCTTCCTAGTCTTTGAGACTGTGCCTAGGTATTCTTGGGGCTTCTGAAGAACTCTGCCACTACGACTACTTAGAATATAAGAAATGTCTTGGGGGTTAAATCTCCAGAGACGTGTGACAGGCCTGGAGTCGTTATCACCAGTAACATCAGAATGAGAAACTCTACCACAAAAAGAGCCAGGCACTAAGGTGGCATCAGATTTTTTTTTTTTAAGCCACACCATTTTCCTCCCCCTCCCCCTCCCCCTCCCCCTCCCCCTCTTCCTTCCTTCCTTCCTTCCTCCCTCCCTCCCTCGCTCCCTCCCTCCCTCGTCTTTCCTTCTTTCTTCTTCTTTTCTTCTTCTCTTTCTTCTTTCTTCTTTCTTTTTCTTCTTTTTAATATACTGAAAATATTTATAAAGGATATTTATAAACAAATTTGTCAAACTTATCACTAGCTTAAATATATGTTACCATTAACTTTTTTATCATTTTTATTTTTTTAATGGAATGGGTTCTTAATTTTTTTTTATTCAGGTGTAATTTATATAAGTAAAATTCACCTTTTAAAAAAGTATATAGTTCTGCAAGATTATACAAATACATACAATTATGTAACCAACACTACCATCAATAACAGGTCTATCAGCCCAAAAAGTTCTTCCATGCCACTTTGTAGTCAGACCCCAGGCCCCCAAACCCCCGACAGCAACTAGTCTCTTTTCTTTAGAGTCTTGCTTTTACCAAATGCCATATAAGTGAAATCATACAGAATTGGGCATTTTTGCTTTGACATGCATTTGGGATACATCCATGTGGTTTTGTGTGTCAGTAGTTCCTTTCAACTGATGAGTATTATCCCTTGTATGGATAAACCACAGTTTGTGCATTTATGCACCAAAAGACATTTGAGTTGTTTGCAGTTTTTGGAGATTACAAATAAAGTCCCTATAAGCATTCATGTATTTGAGTCAGGATCTATCAGACAGATTCAGCTTCCAAAACCTAGGATTCAGGCTAAACAAATTCACAGGGACTCTTCCTGTAGAATGAATCATTTCGGCACCTGATCTTGACCTTCCCTTGACGCTGGATACTCCAGGTCTCCTGGGGAGACTTTTTAAACTTCTTGTGCAAAACTTATTAAAAATTCACACAAGAGAAAGCCTTGATATCTTTTGTTTTCCCAGAAGTAAATTTTCTACACCCTGATTAATACAAAATATACAGTCGTACCTCGGTCACTGAGGAGAATTGGTTCCAGGACCTCTTTTGGATATTAAAATTCACAGATACTTAAGTCTCTGGTATAAAATGGGATAGTATTTTCATACAACCTATGCCCATCCTCCTATATACTTTAAATCATCTCTAGGTTACTTATGATACCTAATACAATGCAAATACTATGTAAACAATTATTATATTGTATTGTTCAGGAAATAATGACAAGGAAAAAAGTCTATATTGTTCAGTATAGATGCAATGTTTTTTTCCAAATATTTTCAATCTTGGGTTGGTTGAGTCCATGAATGCAGAGTCCATGGATACAGAGGATCGACTGTATGAGGAAGTCCTATAAGCTTTATTTATTGTTTTGACTACATTTTAAAAGAGACATTTCTTACTTGTTGAGGATTCCAACACCTTGAACTAGTCTTTCTTTCTTTTCACCTCTGGTATATTGTGGAGTTTGCTTTTGACATTTAAATGAGGACATTTAGTTATTTCTTTGGTGTAGTATATTTTCAGTTTTTAAGTAGGATGAAAATCTTACTGTTTCTGAAAATCACAGAAATCATGACTGAGAGAAAGAGAGAGAGGATAGAGAGTAAATATCTACAAAGAGTGCTCATGCATGACCTGAGAGCTTTGAAGTCATGTAATATATCTAGCCTTTTAATAGGTGATCCCAACTTTAAGGAATGGCAGTGTGAGAAAATTCTAGTTAATAATCCATTCATATCAGGTTCTGGATAGTCAGCTCCAGAATCATTTCTTTCAGAAAGCATTCTCCAGTGGCTTCTATTTGGAAAACAACTCTGTGATCCTTATGGTGCATTTAAAATGCCCCTCTTCCAGCAGCATATCTATTGCATCAAGCAAGATAAAGTATAGTTTTATTTTTTACAGTAGTTTTATTTTATTGGAGGGTAATGACTACTCATCCTCCATGTATTTGGGGAGTGGGAGCTATAAGGGACAGTGGAAAATAGTAAGGCCTGTTGCTTTTTTCATGAGGTCATTTTCCCTTTGACATGCAATTTGATGCTTCACAATTTTTCTGAAAGTCAAAAGGAGTACTACGTTCTTTAATTTTCATAGTGCTATAAATAGCCCCTCACAAAGCATAATTGTATAAAAGAGATGACACTTCTTTATGAAAGAATTTCCACTGGAAAGATAAAAGGAGGTCAAAACTCTTATGTGAGACATGTATTTTCAAGTATTCATAAAAATAGAAATCATTAACAATGGGAAAATTCTTCATGATAGGCAGTCACTTATAAGATACTGGAGCCAAAGCCATTTTCACAGGCACCAACTGTAGTTTGAAAGGAATCCATCCAAGAAGCGGCTGCTGGGCATTTAGCTCAAGTACCAATAAAAAGGAGGAGCATGCATGTGTGTGCGTGCACACACATGCACACATACACATATACACATAGTACAGCTTTTGAAGGTATTTGCCAGAAACATTTTCAGGCTTTTGCCATCTGGGCCCTACAGCCAACAGTCAGGTCCTGTGGTGATTCTAGCTGCTGACTCCTGCTCCTAGAGGCGGAATAACGTGGAAAAGAAAAGGGAAAAAACCGGGAGAGCACATATAGCAGCTAGAAGGATCTGCTAAAGAACATTTATATAACATCAAGATCCCAATTAACTTGTAATGATTCCAGTGTCATGTAAACTTTAAGAAATCCACTTGCAAGTGATTATACATGCATTGGTATTATTTTTGTTATTTATAAATCAGCAGAGATACATAGGACAATTTATAAAACATTTAAAAAGACCAGGAGTCTGTCTCATTGGGTTTATGGGCATGTAAAAAAAATGGTGGACAACATATGAATTGTATAAGCAATCATTAGTAGTCATGACACTGAGCCAACTTGTATTGTGTCCTTCCCATGTGCCAGGCACTGAGTTAGGCCTACACATAAACTTAATTTTAACCCTTACAATACCCCATAAGGAAGGTGTTCTCAGTAGACTCATTTTACAGATTAGCAAATTGATTTTTGAGGAGTTAAGTGGCTTACTCAATATCCTACAGCTGTTATGAGGTAGTGGCAGAATTTTAAACCAGGTTGTTTCTCATTATAGAACAAATGCTCTGACCTTCTGCTATACCGTCTCTTCATGGCAGTGTGCTGAGTTAGTCCTCCATGGACTAAAGAAAGATTCCAATGGGCCCTGGGGCTCAAGCCTGTAATTCCATCACTTTGGGAGTCCAGGGCAGGAGGATCACTTGAGCTCAGGAGTTCCAGATCAGTCTGGGCAATATAAGGAGACCCTGTCTCTCTAAAAAAAAATAAAAAATTTGGCCAGGTGTGGTGGTGCACCTCTAATCCAGCTACTCAGGAGGCTGAGATGGGAGGATTGCCCAGGGGGTTGAGGGTGCTAAGAGCTCTGATTGCTCCTCTGCTCTTCAGCCTGGGCTAGAGCCTGTTCTGAATTTATAATAAGGAGATGCTAGATCAGCAAAGCATAGACAGTAGACAGTAGTTCTTCTGGCATTTTCCATGCAAATGAGTCTTTTCAAGCCACCCAGTTTTGCATGAGGTTACTGTATTCCATAGCCCTCTATAGGGCACAGAAGTCAGATATCCCCTCTGTATAATAATGATTACATTGCCCCAGCATCCTTTATCGACAGGGCCACTGTATTGGGTCTTTGGACAACTTAGTTCTCGCACCGAGAGTAAAGCATTGCTGTTCACTTCGTTTTTCATTCTTATGAGGATAAGTGTTAGGGCTGGAATTCAAGCTGAAAGTTGAGATTACTTCCTGGCAGCAGATGTTGTTCTGTCTTTGCTTCAAGTGTCTGTGCCTCTCTGTTGATTACCTCCTGCCACACTCTCAATACACACAACAAAAGGGTGGGGGGTTTTCAATGGGGAGAAAAAAATTAGGTAAGGTCAGGTTCTTGTTCACCTCATGATTTGGTTCATTTCTTCCATGCTCAGAACTCCCTTTGTCATCAAGGAGAAAGAGAACCTGGGGGAGGAAGGGAAAGATAACTGGGCCTGAAGTAATTTATAACCATAGGCAACTAGATCATTTTATACCAAAATGGTGCTTTCTCAAAATCTCATCATTCATACCAGGAGTATTTCTTATGGATTAATATTCCTGTGTTTATGAAAACATTGTGTGCAGTTGGACTTGCTTAAACTGTGAACATTTTGCCTCTCTGAAGAGTTGGGGAAAGGGTATTATGTCATTATAGTGTTAAAACGCATCAGTGACTTGATCGTTTGAAATGCTTTAATAAAAATGAATTCTATTATCTGATTCTGATTATCTAGCACCAGGTTTTATAGGCTTTTAAGACATTTTCCAATTGTCAGATTTTTTTTTCTATGAGACATTTAAATACTTAGATTCCATTCTTTCTGGGATTTCTAAATAAAGGAAACAGATGTCTTAATAGCAGAAATATTTACAGGATTACTCTGTGGACAGCCTAATGGCCTTTTGAAAATCAAATCATGTTACTGGATTATGTATCAAACATCTTTGCTTGAAGTGAAGTAGTGGGTAGAGACCCAAGATTCAGTCCTGTTAAGAGGTATTTGTTTAAAAAAAAAAAAAACGTGCACACACACACACATTATTATGGCTGGTATGGTTTAGCTGTGTCCCCACCCAAATCTCATCTTGAATTGTAGTTCTCATAATTCCCATGTGTCATAGGAGGGAGCCAGTGGGAGAAAAGTGAATCATGGGGGTGGTTAATCCACACTGTTCTTGTGATAGTGAGTGAGTTCTCACAAGATCTGATGGTTTTAGAAGGAGCTTTTCCCCCTTTCATTGGCACTTCACATTGCCATGTGAAGAAAGATGTGTTTGTTTCCCCTCCCATCATAATTGTAAGTTTCCTGAGGCCTCCCCAGCCCAGCAGAACTGTGAGTCAATTAAACCTCTTTACTTTATAAATTAGCCAGCCTCGGTTATGTCTTTATTAGCAGTGTGAGAATGGAGTAATACAATGGCCAATTTGAAAAAGCAAAATATGGCTTACTGAGCTCATCCAAAAACTTCCCCAATAGTAGTAAATATCAAAAAGGGCTATTCTGTGTGACAGTAAAGTCAGAATTTAAATGTGTGCTTCCCATGTATTTTTTGGTCTCTTCAGTAAAACTCATTTGCATACATGAAAAGGTATACATTCCTGCATGTGCTCATGTACCTGTGAGCATGCGTGTGCCCGCACATAGACAGACACTGATTTTCATGGTAAAGTGATAGAAGTCCTGCAGATGAAAATAATTTTTATATACCAAACAATTATACCTTTCATTGCAAGTATTTTATTTTTACCGTGGGACTTTTCTTCCATTTTAGCTAGACCAGGAAGAATCCACTTTTTCAGGTGGCAGCAGGAGTGGGGGGCGGTCTTACCACAGCAAAGTAGATAGAAATTGTTTGATGCACCAGAAAGAAGACTCAAAGCACGAGTTGGAAGAAGCTCCCCACAATTCCATGCCCAATCCCAAGGGCGTATAAAAATTCATGGGATAGAGGGAGTGTAGAGAAAGTAAACGACAGTATTGGAGTTGGAGGGACTGAATAGAGGAGAGGAGTAAAATCAGTATATAGAACATACCTCCTCCACACCCTCCTAATTGGTTCTCCCTTCAAGCTAGGTGGCTCCAAGGGCTTGTGATCAGTGCAGTCACACAAGGTCTTGTGCTTACAAAGGCCCACACTTAAGATTTAATGCTCTGGGCCTATTGTCTTAAAATTCTCCTTATCTTTGATTTTGTGTTTTGGCAGTGAAGTCTGATAATAAAAAGGAGGCTTGGCTGTGCATGGTCCTAATTCCTGTCACTCCCAACTTACCAGGGATGGGTTCTTGGACACACTCTGGTGCCCTGGCTTCTCCCAACCACCTTCTAGTTTCTCAGAAACTACCTTTTTCTGTGGCTTACCCCAGTGACCTGGTTGTGAGCATGGGGAAGGTCGGGGTCTGATTGTGTGTGCCTCAGGGGGTCTCCAGGTGGGGCATGGGGGTGGCTGTACCAACTTGAAGCTGGCATCACCATGTGTGTTTGGCAGGTGCTTTGACTAGGCAAGCCTCTTGAAACCACCTTTGCAAAGATATGACAGTAAGAGAAATCTAGCATAGCTGACTCAGTCTTGCTTCTAGCTTCTCAGGGTCACTGTCCTTGCTTTTTCCTGGGCGTTGGCCAAGGTAACCATGGGAGGAATTTAGTTTATAGTTTAACCTTAAAGCAAAGATATTGATTGTCCCTCCCTAAAACTAACCAACTCTTTATTCAGGTGTTGAAACTGCCTTTGTAAAACTAGTGAAAGGCCATGATATTAGGATTATGTTAGTGGCCTGAATTTTGCTAAAATGTGTAGTGTATTTTCTAAACTCCCTTACTACTCAGGTGTCATATGGCTAGAAGTCACAAGATTTGTGACTTCCCCAGTTGTTCCTATAGATAACATCACTATTGTAAAACCTAAGATTAGTCCTTTGAGATGTTTTTAGACTGATCTCACCCAGACTTGTGACTCATGACTCAACTGATACGATGGCCCCCAAGAGGCAGACAGCACACAAAGACCAATTTCCACACCCTAATGATTGCACCCCCAACCAATTAACAGCACCCATTCCCAAGTCCCCTGCCCACAAAAATAATCCTTGAAAAACCTTAACCTCTGAGCTTTCTAGGAGACTAATTTGAGTAATAACTCCATCTCTCATATAGCTGGCCTCTCACATAAATGAAACTCTTTACTGCAGTACCACAGTGTCAGTAAATTGGTTTTTCCTTTCCTGGTGAGCAGGAAGAACCCATTGGGCAATTACACTCTCACTGGCAATTATACTCTCACCTACCCCATATCCTGGTACCTAACCCATCTTAACATGGAGGTTGCAACCCCTCAATTGTTCTGTCCACCATGGGTTCAAGCAGCAAATCCTTTGGAAGGAGAGGTTGACTTCCCCATCTCTATTGCTGCAAAGTGAATTGCCACAATTCCATTCCTGAACACAACAAATACTTGTTATCTCACAGTTTTCGTGGGTCAGGAGTCCAGACACAGCTTACGTGTGTTCTCTGTACAAGGTTTCACCAGGCTTCAAGCAAGGCATTGGCAAAGGTGTGTTCTTTTCTGGAGATTTGCCTAGGGGAAGATCTGTTTCAAAGACTTCTCTAATGATTGGGAGAATTCACCTCCTTGTAATTGGGGGACTAAGTCCTCATAGTTTTTGCTGGCCGGCTGTTGGCTGGGGGCTGCTCTCAGCAACTAAATGCAGTTCCCTGACATGTGACGCTCTTCATGGGCAGTTTCCAACATGGCTCTCTGCTTGTTTAAGCCTAGAAGAATAATCTCCTTTCATTTCATCTGCATTACCATATTCTAATAGTCAGAAGCAAGTCTGATGTCCAGCCCATATTCAGAGGGGAAGAGATTATTCTGGCATAACAAAAGGAATCAGAGATTACAAAGTCACTTTAGAATTCTGTTGACCCACCCAGATATGGCTCATTTTTTGAAAGAGCTTGTATTCTAGCTGAGGAAACAAGACCAACACTTCCAAAACATTGAGACATGGAACCAAACATTTCCATGGC